TGACAACAGAGAGCTAAACCACACCTGATCTGCAAAGTACCTTTGACACCAGCATAAGGCTATCATTTGTTGTTGTAAGTCAACAGGATATTATAAATAATAAAAATATTAATTGACTGCCAGTTTTAATAGTAATATGCACATGTGTAAGTTTCCTTACATGGCTCAATCTTGTTAGCAAAAAAAAAAAAAATGAAGTAAGTCTTTCTTAAAATATTACTTCCAGAATTAAAAAAAAAACTTTTTAGTCTAAAATGGTTAAATTAATATCTATGTTGTGTTGGATTTTAAAGAAGTGGTTAATATTTTGCCTTGAAAAACACCAACTGCCACACAGGTGGAAAAAGGTAGCTAAAGAAGTATGTCTATATGCAAGCATAAACACTACTTACCTATGTCTCTGCTTACCTATGTCACACGGTTTTTAGTATGCAATAAAAAATTACAAGACACACAAAAGACACTATACCCCATAAATATGTACAATTATTATGTGTCAATTAAAAGAAGAAAAAAGAGAAAGCATAACTCAGTATATTAGCCTTACATGTTTTTGAAGACTAAAAATTTTATTTAAAATCATGCTTTCTTAAATTAGTAGATGATAATAACTTGAAATTATGAGGAAATTATTTTAATCTATTGTAAATTAAAATTATACTGACATTAGACCTTGATGTATTTGACTGTGCTCTCTTCAATATACCATACGAGTTCAAATTCATTGCCTAGTACATTTGTTTATTGCCTGAGACATATTACTAATACATTATGAGTAATTTCTTAAAGGTATTTCCTTTCAATGTTTTGAATATTCAAAACATACATTTTTAGTGAAAGAGAAATAAGAAACTTTTATCATTAGAGTATATATATATACACAGATGAAGTAAGCCTTTTTAAAACAGCCCTTCTGCTTCCTGAAAAGGAACCTGAATATCATTCAGTGAGAGGCAAGCTTTTTATTCCACAATTACAGAGACTGAAAGAATAAACATGCTGATATAATTTCACTAAGAATAGAGTGAACAGGGACTACATGGACACCCTCTGAGAGGAGATAAAGGTACCACATGAGCTTGAGCTCTTTCTTAAGAATAAATATAAAAGAGAGAACTACACACATATAGCATGAATATGGCCTAGTTTATCATGATCTGTGGGAAATTAGTAAACATTTTGCTCTGACAGCAAAATTTGTTCAGTGGGGAGGATTTTTCCTTTGCTCCCAGGTAAAACCTGTGTCTCTGATAGGTTCCAGTGCTTATAGTCTACAGAGGCACTTTCAGTTACAAAAAGAAAAAAAAAAAATCTCAGTTCAAAATTAGAGGATCCATCTCAAAAATATTATCATTTCAATCCTCACTACATGGTGAAATTTTTCTTCTTCCTCCTTCAATGGTTGACTGTAAATGGTCTACAGGGAAGGAAGTGTAGGCTGGCTTCTGTTCTGTCTCCACCTACTACCACCCCCACTCTCAAGCCCCAACTGCAGAAGGGGAGGGAGCTGAAATAGAGGAATCAGGACTTTGTATTTTACTGAAAAGCTCACATTCTCTGGGTCTGCTATCTCTTTAAGACTGGCTCTTTTTCTCTTGGGCAGAATTGTGAGCTCTATGAAACTTCTTTGTACAGTGACAAATGAACTGCTTTGCACTCACAGCTTCCCAGCCTATCCTCAGCCCTTAGCCAACATTCATGATCCACTTCACATAGCCCTTCATCATTGAAACCCTATTGTTTTCCCAGCTGATGCTACAAGATATGATAAATAGGACATAAACTGGTGCTGCTTTGGCTCTCTCTCCCTTGTGCATGTATCTGGGCATGTATACATTACCCTTGCCAACTTTGAAAGCACAAATCAAAATCCATTTGACAGACTCTCTTCTCTCTCTAGACCTGAGGAAGGCAGATGTGTCTCCAAGTACAAGGGAAGCTTTCTAAGTGGTTTCAAGGAAGCCTAGATCAAAATGAAGGTAGTATCCTACCCAAGTCACCAGGGGAACAAGAGTCGAAACCTAAAGGCTACAGTTTTTCATAAAATATCGTTTTTCTTTATTATTTTTTCTTTTTTTCCCCACAAATTCTCTTTTTCCACATTCTGGCTCTTTTGAAATCCTTAAGCTATCAAATTTATTGCAAAACTTTTTGTTTCTTTGAAAATGTGCATTTTGGGGACCAGCAGTTAGCATAATGGCTATGTCGCTGGACTCCCATGTAGTCAACTACGGTCCGAGTCCCGGACCCGGTGGCTTAAACTCATGCCAGGCACGTGTGCGTGCATGCCCAAGATCCCGAGAGAAGAATGGAGGAGAAGGGATTGCAGTATGGCCATCCCCCCTGGGGGGGGATGTCTCGGTTTCTGTCTCTCTGTCTCTCTCTGTCTCTCTGGCAAGCACATACGCCCTATAGCAAAAAACTCTCCAAAAAAAAAAAAAAAGAAAATGCACATTTTATTTTGGTATCTCACTCTGATCTGTTGTAGTGGTTTTCAATCTACTCAATCCAGTACACCCTTTTAATAATATTTTTTTACTATTCTCCTTTACTATGATGAAGTAAAATTCACAGATAATTCAACCTACTCACATATATAATTTCAAAGAATCAATACAATACCTAAACTGTAAAATGAGAGAGAAATAAAATTCTATGTACATAGTAAAATAATATGCATATCAGTATTTAAATACTTGGGAATGGTGCTACTAGAAAAGAAAAGGGAGGCTCTCTCCAGGAGCCCTCATGAGAGTGACATCGTCTTTAAACCCAGTGTGGCAATCCCTGACGCACTGCTGTGATGCCCAGGGAAGACAGGGCGACCTGGAAGTCCAACTACTTCCTTAAGATAATCCAACTTCTGGATGATTATCCAAAATGCTTCATCGTGGGCGCAGACAATGTGGGCTCCAGGCAGATGCAGCAGATCCGCATGTCCCTCCGCAGGAAGGGCGTGGTGCTGATGGGCAGGGACGCCATGATGCGCAAGGCCATCCAGGGGCATCTGGAAAACAACCCAGCTCTGGAGAAGCTGTTGCCTCACATCCAGGGGAATGTGGGCTTCATGTTCACCAAGGAGGACCTCACTGAGATCAGGGACATGTTGCTGGCCAACACGGTTCCAGCTGCTGCCCATGCTGGTGCCATTGCCCCTTGCGAAGTCAATGTGCCAGCCCAGACCACTGGTCTGGGGCCCGAGAAGACCTCCTTCTTCCAGGCTTTGGGCATCACCGCTAAGATTTCCAGGGGCACCATTGAAATCCTGAGCAATGTGCAGCTGATAAAGACTGGAGACAAGGTGGGAGCCAGAGAAGCCACACTGCTGAACATGCTGAACATCTCCCCCTTCTCCTTCGGGCTGATCATCCAGCAGGTGTTTGACAACGGCAGCATCTACAACCCCGAAGTGCTTGACATCACAGAGGAGGCTCTGCATTCTCGCTTCCTGGAGGGTGTCCGCAATGTTGCCAGTGTGTGCCTGCAAATTGGTTATCCCACTGTCGCTTCAGTGCCACATTCTATCATCAATGGGTACAAGCAGGTCCTGGCTTTGTCTGTGGAGGCTGACTACACCTTCCCACTTGCTGAGAAAGTCAAGGCCTTCTTGGCTGATCCATCTGCATTTATGGCTGCCGCCCCCCCCGCTGCGCCCCCCCCCCCC